AAAAAAAATACGTATGTATTCCTTTATGATTTATTCAACGACGCTTTCAGCAGTTAGACTACATAGCGATGCTTGGAAACACTGGAAGTCAATTGAAGATACGATACAGAAGCCGATGGCAGCGGAAGTTCAGGTACTGTACCGGAGAAAAAATGAGATTCCTGTGGCAGGATAGCATGTCTTCCGTCCGAGATTCAGCCGAGGACGTGCAGAATACGATGTAGGGATGCTAACCACTTAACTGCGCCGGACGGAAACACAAAATCCGGATTCCTGACATCCAAAGCTACGTGCCAACTGCACACATCGGTACTCACGTCACCTACTACTAGAGTTCCGTTACGACGAATCATGGGCGAAATGATGGGGTGGGGATATTGGTAACGGAGTGTTTGAGGTCTTCACGGAGGTGGTTATTGAGATTGTGGTCTTATGGGTTGTGACGATGTGGTTCTGTACACGGATACTGCCGTTTCGGAGGGACATACTGCATCCATCTTCAGGGCTGATGTGTTTTTCCATCCTAAACTTCAAAGTTCTCGCCAGTGGGGAAAAATCACAATGGCCCTTTCTGTACATCCGTCATGCAACTCCAGTTTCTTCCTACGAACAACATTTGTTCCTTTCGGGTTGCCACATGTATGTGATTATAGTCGGGATTTGGACTGGGGACTCGATTTATTGACCATTTTACTACACAAACTCAGAACTACAAGTAATTACAGCGCTACCGCTGATCTCCACACACTGCAAATCACTGCTGCAAACACGAAATCTTCTACAGTGTGCAGTGTCATTAGTCGTTTACTGATAACGGCTCCTAACAGTGGAAATTATTCAGCTTCCAAGATCACGCCATTCCCGGCATGTCACCGTCCCACAACTGAAATAAGCTTCACTGACAACTCTTCGGCACACACAACGTAGAATACGACCTTTATATTGCTGTAAAGGTGTTTACAGCGCCGTTTCGTAGCAACGTTCGCGGAGGGAACTACAAAAAACACACATTTTCTACTGTTGAGTGCGTTACATAGCAACGACCGCCGTTTACTGAGTGACCACTTAGCAACCGGTCTATACGCCACATTACTGCACACTAAATCCTTGGGTCATATAACCACCCTCCTTTCTTCAACTTGCCTATATATAAATAAACCTGTCTGTTGACAAACACACTTCAACCCTGAAGACAGTAGCAGCGTGTTGCTCGGAAACCTCGGTATGAGTACACAAAGTCACACGATATCAACACCTGTAAAGCAGCAATCTTGGGAGTGTACTTGGTTTTGCACCAGATCACGACATTCGAAGGCTATGATAAAGAAAAGCAGAGGAAGCCACATCCTGCTTGAATAAACTCCACGGAATGCCAAGCAGAAGGTGTGTTTGTGTGCGCGTGTGTGTGTGTGGGGGGGGGGGACATGGCCCACTTCATGTACAATAACGACTGCAGCATTGACACAGCGTAATAACGTTAAATAAACTACAGTGGCAATGACATTGAAACAAGTCTCCATGACCTCCACAGATGTGACCTTCAACGTACAGTCGTAATAGCAGCACTGCGAAGCGCACTTCAAGTGGTTCGTACACTCAGCAGTACGACTTATGGGCCTAGGTGTGCAATTCTCGACACAGTAAGTGAATTTTCCTC